CGTTACAAGAATGAAATGAAAAAATTTAGTTGGTTGACAAGGAATATGTTGGTCACTGTACAGTGGGTGGGGAGATCAGCAAATACTTTGTCAGATGTGTTAACTAAGCAAGGGGTAAATAGGGAAGAATTATTTTGGGCTCAGTTGTGATTCTTGCTTTTCTTTCCTAGTTTACTTGTAAGATTCAAGGAGGGGCTGCAGCTCGCACCTCTCGCTGGGATGTTGTATGAACTCACTCTAAATTTGCTTCTGAATTAATAAATTTATTATCATTCATCAAAAAAAAACTAGAACTTAAAGTTTACATTGGAGCTGGGAAACTAGAACTTAAAGTTTTACAAGAAACTAGCCAGGAAATGTACAATGTATCACTGGTACATGCATCATCAAAAATCATGAAATCTGCAACAGATACAAAGTTGTCCTGCCCACTCCTCCCCTAGCTAGGCTTTCCACTAGGCAGTTAACTGATCTCTGTACCCATCTGAATTTGGTCTTCACTCTAGGTGCCAAAGCTGCAGCCTCTTTAATGTGTTTTCACAAAATCCAAGGCCATTCACTTCTTTTCCTGAACCATCCTATAGCTACCAGCTAGTCTTTCTCTATCTCCACTTTCTGGAAGCTCAAGGTAACCATAAATCATTATCCTTGTAATAAAGCCTTTATCTCTGTTCCAAGAGAATCTTCAGAGTCTATGGGACTTCAAATCTAGAAGAAATTCACCTTCTGAGTGTTGAAAATTCCTTATTCATGATGGTCTAGTGTTTCTTGAAGGAGTAACATCAAATTTTAGCTTGATTTCTCCTTGAGAGGGAGATAAATCTTGATTTAACACTTGCCTTGATGTGGATGTGCTATATCAACATGAAATTTTGAGGTATTGGCTTGTTGTGAATTTTTTGTTAGTAAATCAATAGTTTTTGAGGTATTGGCTTGTTGTGAATATTTTATCATCCTCTCTCCCATTAGGCCCATAGTGTTGCTAATAAAGCACACAAATCTCCATAACATTTTCTTCTCTCTCCTAAGGGAGAAGAAATCTGGTGACAGTAGAGGGAATGTTGGCAAGAAGCTGCCAAACTGCATGAAAAAGTGGCACCATACCTTGTAACATAGAAGTGACAGGATCCCTCAACATTTGGTTCACAAGATAGAATGTATATGAGGGGCAGCAACCAAATTTTCCTTCTATGCTGAACTTTTTTATAGGTGTTGACTCTATCATAACATCCCAATGCTCTAAGTTTAAGAGCAGGGTTTAATTAAATTGCTTTGAGTGGAGTGGATTAGGAATCTATTAATAAATGCCGTGGGTGAAATAAAATGAAAATGATGTTTTTCCATGGATGGGGATAGACAAGTGGAAGAATTGTTTCAGTGGATGGAGGGAAACCAAGAGCACTGTAATGGGGCCTCTTAAATCTTACAAAACAATGTTATTAAAGCATCGGCTGGTCAGACCTTTGGGTAGGTAATTCATCTCTTAAGGACCTTTTTCCTTGTACACTATTTCATTGTATGAAAAGGAGTCCATATTGAAGTTTTTGTCTTTCTTGTCTCTTCAAAATAGCTTTAATTGGGATCTAGGTTTTAGGAGGGGTTTGAGGGAAGGTGAATGTGAATTGGTTATTTAGCTTTTGTAAATTCTTGACAAGGTTTGGTTTAATCCCTCTAAACCTGATTGGTGTGTCCGGGCCCCCAACCCTAGAGGTCTTTTTTCGTGTTCTTCCTTTTTAATATTTCTCTGATCTTCCCTTCACTCCCAGTCTTTGTTTGCTATTAAAGAAATTTGGTGTACACCTATCCTCCCAAAATAGGATCTTTTTGTTGGGAAGTCTACAATGGGAAGATTAACACTTTTGACATCTTGCAAAAGAGGAGACCTAATGTTTGCTTTTCCCCTATCTGGTGCACTCTCTGTGAAGCTAATAGGGAGACCTGTTACTGCTTACTAATCTCCCGTCCCTTTCTTGCAGGTATGTAGGAGTGATTTTTTGGTTTGTTTGGGTGCAGGTGGAGTATGGTTATGGAGATGAATGGACTGTCTGATATGTCCTTTTTTGTTTGGATAAGGAAGAAGGGACGGATTTTGTGGAGATGCACAAGGGCAGCATGCCAGCATTGATATGGAAAGTTTGGGAGAAAGAAATGCAAGAGCATTCTTAGAGAAGGAAGGAAGCAAGAAAGCAGTGATGCAATGTATTTTGATTAGGATGATTCATTGGGTAAAAACCTTGAGGAAATTTTCCTCTTTCTCCTATGATGACATATGGAGAAGTTAGGGGTAGGTGGCAAGAATCTCTTGAAAAAATATGTGGTTACAAAAGCAGTGGCTACCTCCTCAATTGTCTTTCTCAAATTAAATTTTGATGGGAGTAGTCGAGGCAATTCGGGGCCTTCTGGAATGGTGGTGGAGGTGGTGGGGATTCAGAAATGAAGAATAATGTAACAGCTTTGTACTCCTGTGGTTGTGTTCTTTCTGTATGGGCTGAAATTCTTTCTGTAATCCAAGGGTGCAGATAGCAAGAGGTTTCAATATTGAAATATTAGTTATTGAAGGACATTCCAAAGTGGTTGTGTTCTGGCTAGAGAATTTGGAGGCAGAGGTGTGGCTATACTGGGATGAAATTAAGAAGTTCAAGTGTCTAACCAGCAACATGTTCATACAGGTTCAGTGTGTTAAAAGGACACTGTGATTCCCTGTCCTAGCCTATCCAGCCCTTTTCTTGGTTTGCCAAGAAATGAGAAAAAGAAAAAAAAAAAGATTGTAATCTAAATGTTCAATATCATTCTTTCCTTGCATAGTTTTATTCTATTTTATCTTATTTATGAGATTGCATGAATATCCTAAATTAGAACATATGTTTTTTAATTGGCTAGTTAACATTGTTCTAGATGGTGTTGGAGCATTCTCTTTTCTCAGGGAGGCAACAGCAGCAGTTTCTTTTTTTCGTTAAGAGCTGGCCTCCCTTTTGTTGCTCCTACATTTTCCATTTTGATCTTTGCTGAATTCTCTTTATGGATAAAATAATTCAGCCTGGTAATTAATGACATCATGTATCTTGTCCAAGTTATAACAAGTAGATTGTAACTTTGGATTGTTATCAATAGATTGGGTACTGATTTAGACATAAATATCTGAACTCATATGTCCTGATATTGAATTCTTTGTCTTTTGTCAATAATGCAGGGATGCATGCACATAGCAGGTCTACTCTGGAAGTTCCCATCTTTTGGTTCATACATAGTGATCCACTATTAGTTGATAAACATTATCAAGCGAAAGCACTTTCAGATATGGTCATTGTAGTTCAGTCAGAATCGTCATCTTGGGAAAGCCATCTGCAGTGTAATGGACAGTCACTTCTGTGGGATTTAAGGTCAATTGATCTAGTCTTTACTCATGTGCTTGTGTATGTATGTATGTATGTATGTATGTATGTGTGTATGTATGTATGTGTGTATGTGTGTATGTATGAATGTTGACCCACCTGTGAGGGGCACTTGTTTTTTGTCGGTCAACGGGAAAGTTGACCAACTTTCCTGTTTTGTGTTTCAGTAAAGGTGGATCCCTGAGTAAAATAATTTTCCCATATGCATCACTTTCCCACCTGTAGCTGATCTAGACTGTCCATTGGTGTTAGGGGACACTTTTGATTGATCATAAATTCCCTCCTCCATCCCAAAACAACCCTACACCCACGCTTATACTGGAGTTTTCCCAAGTATTTTATGTTTCTCAAAGTTTTAATATTTTAATTTGAAATGTGCCCTTAAAAGGGCTTATTTTTCTGGCACTCCAAGGGATTTTAAGCTGAAAGTGGCAAGAGGAACATGTAGGATATTTTGGTTCCCCAATCTCATGGTTAAATACTTAAATGGAAGATTTCAGGTTGTTTAAATTTCTAAATAATCCAACTAACACATCAATTTCATATACACGGCCATTCATATGCAAGTATAAACACATTTTTTATTTTTCTTTTTGATTGGTTACAGAAGCATATTCATGAAGGCAATATATGCACAGAAGTTATTCTCTAAACAGTCTCATGGTTCATGTTATCTGCTTATGGCATTACTTTAATTGTTGAAACTACTGAAGGATTAAATGCAAAATTCAGTTTATGGACAAATACCTTAGAAACAAGAGGTTTTAAAATAAGTTAGCCTAAAACAGAATATAAAATATGTAAGCTGAATAGTAGTAGTAGTGCAAATCAGGGTATACTTAGTATTGGAGACCAAGAGATAACTCAATGTGACCTTTTCTGGTACCTTGGTTTGATAATTCATAACAAGTGAGAGACTGAGGATGATGATAATTCATAACTAGTGTCTTAAGAGTCTGATGCAGAAAGATGAGAAACGATGGAGAAATACATATTTTTTGAATTCTAACATTCTTACATTATATGAAAAATGGGATTCATCTCGTACATTTGTAGTTCATTTACATCAAATAAACTAGGAGATAAAAAGGAAATATTATGTAGAAGTGCCCTCAAGAAACTGTGGGGTGGTGAACTCTGATGTGTCTGACATGGATACATCATCCATTTGGGAGAGTCCATGCAACACTTAGTATCACATTCTCTAGGTGTCAACATAAGATTGGCCCTTCAACTCACAGTTTTCAAGCTGTATGGACTATGGAGCATGCAGTTTTTCTTATTTTCTAAATCATTTAATACTAAAAATTGTGGGATCTTACCTATCCAAAAAAAAATTGTGGGATCTTTGCATTTGTAACTGCTAGGAAGTTCCACTTGGCACAACTCGGTCACATTAGGAAGCTTTCAGGAAAGTGTGGCTCTTTCGTAGTTTTGAAGGCACCAAGGCGAGGCTAGGCGATTGGGGGGCGCCTAGTCGCCTAGGCAATGGATTTTTTATGTTAAAAACATAGATCCTAGGGTAGTTCCCTAGGTACCATAACCATATTTCTTTAATAATTATTCATGATTTTCATAAGAAAAGTATAAATTTCATATTAAAGTATAGAAAATCAATATATTCATGACAAGAAAAGGAAGAAGGAAAACAAAATTCAAAAAATATAGGCGCTGAACCCTTATTTTTGTTATTGGAAAAGAAGAAAATAAAAAGTATTGGTAGTAGAAGAAGAAATTTTTAGTTCTTCCTTGCTTATTTGTTCAGGTTTTTAAGTCTTTGAGGGTTCAATACAGCATTTAGCAATGTTTGTGTTGATTAAACCCTAATAACTAAGAAAAAATAAAAAGAAATTAGTATATAAACACACAAAATTATTATTTTAGTTTAATAATGTCTATTTTATAATTATAATCTCAAAAAAGAATGAATAAAAAGTATTTGATAGTAGGAAGTAGAAAACTGTTAGGCGATTAGACGAGGTGAGCCTCAAAGGGCGCCTTGTCGCCTAGGCGCCGCCTTGACAACTATGAGCTCTTTACAGGAGAAATTTTAATTACTAAAGCACAATCTATTTGGTTCAATCCAAATTTCTTAGCTAAAGCCTTGTCAACAACCCTGATACTTGACTTGTTCTCCACAGGAGGCCTGTAAAGGCTACTTTAGCTGCTACTGCAGAACATCTGGCTGGCTTACTTCCTAATCACCTGGTTTATAGTCAATCTCATGAAACTGCAATTGAGGCAAGTGGAGTTTTGTTGTTCGTTTTTTCTTGTCATGTTTATATATTTATTCTAATGGCCAAGTTTTTCCTAATTATCATTTGCAACCTTAACAAATATGTAAGATTAGCTGATGATCTCTTTTTTTATATGTAAAATTAACCAAGGACAATGAAATCTACATTAAACCAATCTAAATAGCATCTGCCTGGCCCAGGAGGTTGAGTGTGAGAACTTTATCTGTTGACATATGATTAGAAATATTAGGCCTTTCATTGAGCCAATAACATCAGTCAGGTGCAGGAGGTCAATTATCATCAGTTTACACACTTGGCTGGATGGCCTATATGTATACAGATTTTAACTGGATCACTGTTTCAGGTTCAGTTAGATTCTGTTATATGATGTCTTTCTATGATGCCCAAATATACATAAACAAATTGACACATAAATAGGAACTGGATATGGGATATGACTCATTTTCCTGAGATCCAGGACATGTCTACATATTTTGGTATCTGATGCTTATACAGTTATTCCCACTTTCTCCCCCAGATATAGGGAGAAACTAACTTGAGAGGATTCAGAAAACTGGAGTAATACTTCAAACACAGATCAGAGAGGATGGAGAAGTTTGTACAAGCAGGTTGATAGAGAAAAACACTCAAGGCTGAAGCAAAGAACTTGGTTGAAGAGCTGCGAGTTGGGGGGAAGACAAGCTTGAAGATTTACAAGTGGTTGAATGGTTAAATGACTTCATATGTGCAGCTGGCTCAAAAGGCAAGCCGACAAATTGGCAGGAATTTGGTACAGAAGAAGGCGAGAGATATGTGGTTGAATGTAAGGGAAATGACAAAAGTTTCTTCATAGCTTTGGCTGAATAGTTTGGTAGGGGAAGAAAACAGCTCGTTTGTATTCCAGCAGGAAAACAAAGCCACGGATAGGGGGAAGTTAATAGATTGCTGGATGAGTGTTTGGGTCAAAGGAAGTCAACAGAAAAGGAGGAGGTAGTTCAAACTACTAGCCGGGAAGAAACCATGGATCAAGAGCCTGTGGTGCTGATAAGAACCAAAGGACAGTGTAAAATGGTGGGTGCCTCAAAAAGGGAAGACTGGGATAGTATGTATGTTATTCAAGCTAAGGAACGAGTTAGTGATTGGAGAAGGGTAGCAGAGCTACTGACCATAAGATTGAAGCTGAAAGGAGTATTCATAGTGACCCCCTTCGATAATTGCAAAGCCCTTCTAGACTTGGTAGAAGATGAAGTGGATTTTTCAGCCCTTAATATTCAATCTGAGTTTCGGTCCTTCACAATCTTTGAATGGAGCCCTTGTCTAACTCCAAGGAGTTTCTTATCGAAGGTTGAGTTGTAGTGCGTCTAATAGGACTGCCATTCTATCTGTGGAAGCAAGAAGTGGCAGAATCCATAGCCCTGATGTGTGAAGGGCGTTTAGAAGGAGCTTTCTGGGGTGACCTCCACTCTGCAGTGGTTTTACTAAGTGGAATAAAGCCTGAAGATATTCCATGAAAGGTAGAGATAAGGTGTGAGGGGAGCTTTGTGTCGGTCTGGTTGGCCTCCACCGTTGAAGCGGGGTTGTGGAAGGAGACTTGTATGGAGCGAGGTGAGGAGGAAGAAGAAGCACTACGTGGATACTCAAGATTGGCTAGTCAAAAACAGAAGGGACTGTATACTAAAAAGGACCAACATATTCTGGGTAGCCGTAAAGGTTTGGGGCAAATGGATGGTCAATGAATTGGAGTACAAGGAAAACCCATGGCAGGCGACAGATCATTTGCACAGGTGGTTTCAGGGAAAAAGACAAATTTCAAACGAGTGGATGGGCATGGGGGGAGTCAAACTGGCAAATTCAGGGTGGCCCAAAATCTAAGGCGGGTGGACCAAATATCAAAATAGGGGCTGTTAATAAACAGAAACAGAGGTGTGGGCCCAATCGAAGTGTGGAGTCCATCGTAGGTGGGCCGGAAACAACTCTAGACACAACCCATTTAAACCTCTCGGAGACTCGGACAAGCTTGTCAAAACATTAGAACCCAAGGCCCAACCTATCACTAATGGACCAGGGGCGATTTTAAGTAGTCACGTGATCGAGAGGGACAGCCGGCTGTTGGATGGTAGCAACCATCTATCATCTTCCTCATCGAGCAGTCACTCTCTACAGTTGATTCCCTCCAAGATGTTGAAGCGCCTTTCCCCAGATAGGCGCAATCCAAGGTGGTTTAAATGAAGTGAACTCGAAAACCTGGAGGCTGATGAGTGGTTAGATGAAGAAATTAGCAGTGAAGATTCCGATGGTGATGATATGGTAAGTTTGGGGAGTGTGGCTTTGAAAGCCAATGGCAACCTTCTCGAGGTTGAAATTCTTCATACAGAAGTGTTGTTCTTAGACGAAGTTTCTGAAGTTGAAGACCGAAGGGATGATTTCAGAAACATGGTCACTGCTATTGAAGCTGTGCAGCCTATGTTCCCCTTCTTTGAGGGAGTTGACCCTAATTCTAAGGAGTTACAGAAGCTAGGGGTGGATGGACAAACCTCTACCGTGAGGAATGATGAGGGTAGACAGAAAACGTAAAAATTGAGGATGGATCTCCAAGTGGGTAGGTCAATCGAAAGTGTTTCTTTCACTAGTACCAACTCGCAGCCTCTTCCGGTTAAGGGAAAGACCTTAGACCTAAATGGAACATGTCAAAAACCCAGTCATTGTGACCCTTGTGTTTCACCTGTCTTCCCAGGTATGATTGTCAATTCATTTTTGGCTACTAACTCGTGTGCTGTGCCTGAAACAGATATACCTGTGTCCCACCCAGCAGGAGAAGAAGATACTAGAGGGAGGGTATTAGTGGAAGTAGGAGAGAAAGAGGCAGATGGAGGCAGTAAGGGGATGGGTGAGGAAGCAGATAGAATCTGGAAACTGACATGTATTGATCTGGAGGGGCTTAAACAGAAGGCAGGTTATGTGGAGAGATGTGACCAGGTCGGGAGTGAGTGTGGTAGAGATTTAAGGCACAAATGTAGGGAAGAAAATAAAGCTGAGGAAACGTTAGCACGGAATAAAGTGGAGGGAGGAACAATAGGATTGGGTGATGGGAAGAGGGAAGCAATGAAGGGTGATGAGAAAAAAGGAAAAAAGAAGAAAAAAAAGTCAGAAATGGAAAGGCTAATATCAGACATTGAAGGAGATATAGAGTTTAGTGGTAGGGGAGATAGGAGGAAGGGTATCATTTAAGGAAAATAAGGCTTTGAAGGAAGAGTATCATATAGTGTTTAGTGGTAGGATTTGAATCCCACACACTCAGCTCAGTGTGTAGATTTTTCAACCATAATAGTTCCACAACTCCTTGAGACATAGCCCTATACTCCACTTCTGCACTTTGTAACCACAAATTGTTTTTTACTCCTCCAAGAGACCAAATTTCCTCCTACATATGTGCAATAACCTGTAGTGGACCATCTATCATCAACAGAATCAGCCCAATCAGCATTAGTATAACCTTCCACCTTGGTATGACCTTGTTTAGTGAAGAGAAGACCCCTACCAAGGTGTCTTTTTAAGTAGGATAGAACTCTCTTGGCAGCCTTGAAGTGGGAAGGTCTAGGTGAGTGCATAAACTGACTCAAAACACTCATAGAAAATGCAACATAGTCATGGAAAGATATAGAAGTCTCAATAAGTCTCTGATATTGATGAACATCAGAGATTGCTTCATCTTCACATTTTCCAAGTTTATTACTTGGATCCATAGGGGTCTCAGCTGGTTTACATCCCAATTTCCCAATGTTCATCAGAATGCCAAGGATATATTTCTTTTGCGAAATAAAAAAGCCTTTGTTAGATCAAGCAACTTTAATGCCAAGGAAGTATTTTAGAGGACCAAGATCCTTTACTTCAAACTGTGAGGCAAGAAATCCCTTCAATTCTTAAATTTCTTCCTTCCAATTTCTTGTTATCACAATATCATCCACATAATCAAAATGGCAACCAACTCACCTTTTCTCTTTATAAACAAAGTGTGATCATCTTTAACCTCTCAAACCATGCCCTCGGAGATTGCTTCAAACCATAAAGAGACTTCCTCAAGTGACAAACCTTATCCTCACTACCCTGTACTTGAAATTTAGGAGGTTGGGACATGTAGCTGATGAAGAGGCCACAAGAAGTTGACTGCTAGAGATAACAAAACACGAATAGAACTCATCTTGGCAATGGGAGCAAAAGTCTCATTATAATCCACACCATGTGTTTGAGAGAACCCTTTTTCCACCAGTCTTGCCTTATACCTTTCAATAGAACCATTTGCTCAATGCTTTACAGTAAATACCCACTTACAACCCATGAGTTTCTTACCCTCTAGAAGATCAACAAGGTCCCATGTGTGATTTTTATGAAAGGTATTAATTTCCTCACACGTAGCCATTTTCCATTCAGGTTAGATCCAATATCTCTGCAACACATTTTGGAATAGAAACACTATAAATATAAGAGATAAAAGCTCTATAACCAGGAGACAAAGAAGCACTAGAAGTAAAGCAGGCAGTAGGGTGCTTAGTGCAAGTTCTCACACCCTTACAAAGAGCAATAGGAAGATCAATATCACAAGAAGTAGGTACAAGGGTACCTGAAGGAAGACTGATGTGAGGATTTTCCTCATGAAAGTCTGACAGCAATGGCTGCACAATGACTGGTTCCATACCTGTATTCAGTGGATGATTTAATAATGGACCCTTGTAACGCTGCCAAATATATCGCGAAAAAGTACGATAAGGTGGTGGAGGCGGCAGAGGCAACACAGACTGTTGTTGAGATGGCTGGAGCTGTGGACCTGTGGAGAAGGGAAGAAAAGGATGTCTCACCTCACCACTACTCTCACTTTGAGGTGAGACAGGGAAAAAAAGACGGGACTCAAAGAAAGTTACATCCATAGAAATAAAGACTTTATGAGACACAGGGTCAATCTCCAAGTACAGAACAATCTTGGGCAGGCTTGAATCTCCAACAATCTCCAAGAATCAGGCCATGAGAAGAACTAGAACTCTGGCCCTAAGAAAATCTCATGCAGCCGGCTGGGAAAAGCTTGAGATTTTAAAACATACCTAACCTGCTTTATATCAACTTGGATTTACTACTGTTAGCAGAACAGAATTAGAATGAAAAATAATCCAAGAAAAAGAAGCGAGAAGAGAATAGAAGAGAAGAAAGGAAGAAGAAGAAGAGAAAGAATAGAAGTAAAAGGGAGCTGTCTGTTATTTTACTGCCATCGTAAACAATATCATTTATATGTGCTAACATAACATAAGCAAAAAGACTATAATTTCCTGCCTCCTATAAAAATACACTAACAGCTAGAAAAAGATACAAGAAAATAACAAAATAGGTAACAGAATAACTCAATGAGTGGGACCACAAGTAGAAATATCAAGTCTGGTCCACTGTATCACTGCAGGTTGTAAGGTGGGAAGGTTTTCCTCCAGACAACTCAGGTTACAGCTGGATTCCTGGTCATCTACTCAACTCAATTCAGCCATAATCCTAACTCTTTGGAGTATTAAGGTCACTGCCAATAGCAGTGCAATCCACACAGACCAATTTTAGATATTTAAATTCACATGGACCTGGTTAATATGCATTTCCAGATCTGTTTTCAGGTCATCAAGGCCATTTTAAAGTACATACAGCATGTACATAGTCCTATGACAAAGGAAAGTATAGGAGAAAAACTTGTCCTTTTTTTTTTATAATTTTTTGATCAGCAACTATCTTCAACATCATCTAAGCCTTGTCCCAACTATATGGGGTTGGCTACGTGGATTCCCTTTTGCCCATTCTGTTCTGCTTAGTAACTATGATAACTTTTATTAAATCAAGATAAATATAAAGCAGATTTATAACTTGGGCTCCCAAAGAGCCATCTATTTACTGCATCAGTTATACAATGAAGCCCCAAACCATTTGCTGATCTATTAACCCATCTGAAAGTATCTCCACATCTCTTGCTAATTACCTGATTATCTTATAGCTTGCCCATAAATCCAAATTTCTTGACTATTATTATTTATCCATCCAAAAAACCAGCCTGGGAATACCCTTCCACCTTCACTTTGCCTAATCATCAATTGCTTTGCTATCTGTAGACCTTGCAATAGAGCTGAAATTTTTGCTGTAAGAGAATCTCCATATCCTAAAGGACCTGAAAATAGATCTAATATGATCCATGTTCATTCACTAACACACCTCCTGTGCTTGAGGGTCATTGATATCTCTAATTGGACTTCTATCAAAATTCATTTTTATCCTATTACTTCTTGAGGGAACCCACTGTTCTTGGACCGTGGTCTTTAAGGTAGAAGATGCAGCTACCACTCCATGTTATCTAACCATGTCATGCACCGTAAATCTCCTAAAAACTTCCATTGTCTTAACCCAGTGAATTACCTTAAATGTGATATTCTCAGTTATGGCTTCTGAATATCTATATTTCTCCTTAAATAGCCTCTTAATCCTCTCATCCCATATTGTCCATAAATTTGGAGCTGTGATTCTCCACATCTCTTATCCCCTTCTTTTTGGTTGAGTCATAACTCATAAACCATGAACTGAACAAGCAAGCAACATTCTGAACATTTCTGCCCTTGTTCCTAAAAAGTGCATATGTTTAACATATTTCAACAGGGATTTTACTTTAGATTAATATCTTTCCAACATCTTTTGAGTGATCTGTAAGAATGCAATTATTTTAAAGCTCCCAGTAGACTGGTACTCTTTGCATTATACGATGATCAATTCCATTTCATTCTTATATAAAAGTTGGTCATTTATACATACTTTTATATGTTTCTTATTTTAGTATATATTTGTCTTGATCAATGAGTCTCATGTGGCTTAAACCTTGCATATGGTCACAATGTAAATAGGATTGGATATGGTCAGTAGGATGCAATCCTTTGTCGATTACTTCTCAAGGCTGGCATATTTCAAAGTTTCAGTCAGATACAATTGCTCGGAGCTATATCATCACAACCCTCGAGGAGTCAATTCAGCTTGTTAATTCAGCCATTCATCTACTAGTTATGGAGCGTACAAGTATCCTCACCTATATTTACTGTATTATAATCACATGGAGTATGCATACCTTTGTGACTTCAAACTTTATTTGCTGTAATATTCTGGAAAATCAGGAAGGCTAATATACCCCATGATGAGGAATGGCGATGGTGTTGGGTGGGGCTGGTTTCACATGCCCCACCCTGAGATGGGGCTGGAAAACCCATCCCAATCTCCATCCCTGAATTTGCACCATTACGCCCTGACCATTCCTATCTGCAAACCTATATTTTGAGAAAAAACATATGGTATACATTATAATATTTTATGTCTATGAAATTTAGTTTATACATTCATAATATCAAGTAACATATTATACACATATTATCTATTGGGGTGGGTTTGGCACTGGGCTCGGGGCTGGGTGGACAAATACTACCCCTGCCCTGTCCCTGGCCACCAGAGTTTCGGATTTCCTCAAAACCCAACCTGAATGAGGCAGGGTGGGTGTGAAGCAAAACTTTGGTGACCAGGGATGCGGTAGGTTGGAGCCCCAGTGGGGGCAGGTCAGATTGCCATCTCTACCCATGACTACATTCTTTGGCTACTCAAGTGATTGAATATCACCGCCTTTATAGCATTTTGAAATTTGTAATTGTATTTCTAATTTTAGAGAAAGTTGAATAGAACTGAATCATGAAATGTATGATAACTTGTAAAATTATTTACTTTTGTTAGAAATTTGTCAATATATATATATATAAAGAGAGAGAGAGAGAGAGAGAATTGGTTGTACCAGATTTTTAATTCAAATCTACTATATATGTACTTAAGAAGATAAAGTTTACTGCATGTACACTAAAAGCATAAAATGATATAATTGTCTTATGAATTGAAACTTATCGCTAAGTTTTCAACTCGCAGTTGAATTCATTGAACTTGTCACAATTTAATGCCTACCTAACATTATTTTTGTGTATTGTGAATTTCTGTTGATGGAGACTTTAACCAAAACTAGCTGCACAAACTTTTAAACTCTTCCAGTTGCAGGAGCCTGAGCTGGTAAACAAATATAAAATTGTTGTAGGCATGTGGAAAAGAGTAAGTATACATATTTATTGTTTCATTGATGAAATTTCAGTCCTATTTCTACTTTCCCTATTATTGTTGTGAATTCATTCAATTATAAAAGTAAGACAAATTTGTCTCTCTTGTTTCAGATTTCAACTCTTACTGGGGACTTGCGCTATGTGGATGCAATGAGGCTACTATATACTTTGGAGGATGCATCAAAGGGGTTTGATCTTTCTCCCTTTTTTATCTTTCAGTTTTTACTGATCTTGGACTGATTACAAATGACCTGAAATTGGGTCCAAACTCAATATGCATGTTAGACTTGTTTGCTATCATAAAAGCAAAAGGAAGAAAAAGTAGGAATCTAAAGCTTTTTGAGAAAATTTGTGCCATTTAGTGCTGTTTAGCCATATTTTTGGTTCCATAACCTTTGGATCAACATACATCAGCTTTGAAGAACTAGTGGTCTATGTGGAGTCTGTTGGAGATGGGTTATTTTTAGATTTTTTCTTTTTTTTTTTTGGGGGGGGGGGGGGTTAGGTAGCAGATTCAAAATCATTATTCAACAAATGATGAAGATTCAGTGGACTTGACCAAAAAACGATGGATACTGTGGAGTCGGGATTTTCTAAGAAAGTAGTAACCTACTATACCAGGTTACTTGACTTAATAAATAAGGGCAGCCATGGAGAGATGCAAACAAGGGTTTCTCATAGGCCTTGTTTTAATCTTGCCAACAACTGGACACCTCTTTTACCAGTCCCTAATATCTACAAGGACAAATCCTAAGGTTGTGGTCAAGCTGCAAGCTGACATATGAGAACTACAGCTTCAGAAGCCCCACCAGTTAAACCAATGCCTAATAGGATCAATTTGAAGTGTTTTTGTGGTTAGGGAACACGGAACACATAGCTACAAAATGCCGTACAACCCAAGAGCAAAAGATTAGTAGTGTGGGTAGGTTAATTATTGAAGGAGATTTTAAGGTCTCAGTTGGATAGCCGAAAGATGAGGAAAAAGGAGTATTGTCTAACAGAGATGTGTAAGGAAGATCAAATGGCTTACAAGGAATATGCATGTAAAAAATACAATGGGCACAAAGATTTGCAAATGGGCTCACTGACATATTAGCCAAGCAAAGGGCTAATAGGGATACGTTGTGTTGAGCTCTATTGTAATGTAATGCGGCTAATGCTATGTAGGAGAGGCAGTAGCTTGTTTCCTCTCCAAGGTATGCTTCATTTGTAAATATTTCCGGTTCATTTTAATATATCTGTTATTTATCAGAAAAAAAAAGTCTTGCATCCCAACAACAATATTGGTGCAAGATGAAGGTGGAGAGTTTGAAACTCAATTTCAACTAGAAGAACCTGAAGTTCACACAAAGAAGAGGCAAAGGACGGATGGCATTTATCTAATTTAGAGCATCAAAGACCCTGAAATCTCCTTCAAATTTCACTCTTTTTGAGCCAAATTGCTTCCAATTTAGATGATAGCGGATTGATCTCCTCAATCTCAGTAACAATCTTACCATTGTCACAAGTGGCATCACTTCTGTTATTGGAAAGAGTTGGGGAATGGGGAAGAAGACTTTTTTGTAGAATAATATGGCTTCCCTTGTGAGTATTGTCCTGTATCACCGTTTGGGTGAAAGAGCTTGATTGGCATAAGAGATTATACAGAAAACAGGGGATTTACAGATGGGGAGACTTTGATTTTCTTTACTTGAATTAGACTCAAGGGTATCTTAGCTGATTCATCTAGGCATCCATTGTTGAAAGCAGTGTGGCATAGTTGTCAAGCTAATTGTACATGATGCTTTGAAATGCTTTTATATTCTTTTTTTTTGAGACAATAATAATAAAATGACATAATTAAACTAAAATATTCACTTTGTGGGTTTATTTATTTGTTTCCTTTTATTATTTTCTTATTTGTTAAAGTGCAATCAACACATACGTTGTTGTATGCTGTCTTGAACCCTCAAGACTTCAAAACCTGAACCATTAAGGAAGAACTTTCACTTTTGTCCAATCAACACATTCTTCTTCTTCTTCCACCTTTTCTTCTTTTTCTAGGAAAAGCAATGCTCAGCCCCTATATTTTTGAATTTTCTTTTTTTCTTTTCTTCTTCTCTTCTTCCACCTAGGGAAATACCCTAGGATTCATGTATTTTTACTAAAAAAATCCATTGCCTAGGAAGTAACAGCGCTCAGCCCCTATGTTTTCTGAATTTTCTTTTCTTTTTTCTTCTTCCACCTAGGGAACTAACCCAGGATTCATGTTTTTCTATTAAGAGAAAAAAATCCATTGCTTAGGAAGTAACAGCACTCAGCCCCTTGCTATGCATCTTCATTCTTCTTAATATAAAAAATTTTATTAAGAATGAAGAAAATTGAGATTTTTCCTCTTCCTCCTCCTCATCCCCCTCCTTTTAAGGAGGCTTCCGCCTCCTTGTGTTCAGGAGGCTTACGCCTCTTACATTTTAAACTACACCTCACGCCTCTAGGTAGTAGAACGCCTCGCATCATCCCTCTGCATTTTAAAACATTGATCCCATATAGTTGAGGTGAGGCTTGGGTGACCATGGTGATTACCATCTTTTGTGACCTCTTTCCGGTAGCTCAAAATAGGAGGCTTTAGTCAAGTAAATCAAGATGGTAATGTGATATCACTGATATGGAATCCTCTTTTCAGAAGGAATTTGATCAATGACCTGTCAACTGTTGACCTATTTGACCCATTTAATAAGTAACCAATTTTTTGTATTATTTTAAAATTTTTGAAATTTTTATTGTGATCATGTCATAGGTTGACTCTCAGGATGGTGAAACCACTGACCCATTGACCCAGTGGGGAAAGTGGTTAAGCCTCTAGGTCGCGTGTAATACACTGATGGATATCATAGGTTGTGTAGGCTTCAAAGCCTGTAGAGAGTGCTTTAAAGGATACAAACAATTTATTAGAGAGGTTGTGTAGGTTCAAGACAAAAGCCGTACACAGTTTGATCTTTGATGGCAACCTATTATTAACATGCTTTTAATGAACAACTCTCTCTTGCAGGTTTGTTGATTACGTGAATGCAACTATTTCCCAACTCCATCCGATTCATTGCACCCGGGAGAGGAAAGTTCATGTGGAGGTAGACATGACGACGATCCCGGCTTTCTTGGTAGTTTTGGCCATTCTCTGGTTTGTGCTGAGGCCAAGGCGGCCTAAGCCCAAAATCAACTAAGTTGATCAGCAGCAACATGCATCCGAGCAAAGACACGAGTTTTTTTCCCTATGTATATCAATTTCGAATGTTGTGATGGAGGTGTCGTTGCTAAAAAAAATTAAAATGCTTTTTTTGCATAATCATCATCTCTCTCTCCCTCTACCACACCAAAAATATTTCTGGAATTTCTGTATATTGTCACTTGTTTGGTCCAGAATTTCAGAAGTCAATGCCTAAAATTTCAAGAAATACAGAATTTTGCTAGTGAAATAATCATATAACTAATTTACTAGTATTGCAATGGTTGTGCTCAAGTCACTTTAGAGAGAGAGAGAGAGAGAGAGAGGAAAAGGCAAGGTAAAATAGAAAGATAAATTTTATTTCAATTTCTAAAAACTACAAAAAAAGTAAAGGAATTAACAGCTTTGGCAATGGTGCACTCTCCCAAATGAGCCCTTCGTTGATCTTAATTTATTGCCAGGTGTGATGGTACAGCCGTGTAGCTAAAGCACTCTTTTGCAATGAAGAAGTGCTGTATTTGGCGGTTCATCTCTCAACATGGGAAAAGAGAAGGATCTGCACTACATGACCCATGACCCATACTTTTGTTGCAAGTCTCTTCTCTTTAGTTAAAAGTTTTTACCTGTTGTTTACAGTTATGGCTATGGTTTAAAAACTCGATCGGGCGTATCGTATTGTATTTTTGGGTCCCGAAATACTTAAACAGGTGTTTTGGAATTTCACATTTTTTAATAAAAAAACCCATTTTTAGTTTCCCAAAAACCAAAATTTGAAAAAAAAAACTAAAAAGGAAAAAAGTATTTTTATGTGTTTTTAAGTACCGATATGCCTCTATTGATAAGTAGAGGCATATCGATACTTTGGACCTTGGTTCGAAGTATCGACACATATTGGCCCGTATTGGCCGATATGTATCGTTTCGGGACCCCTCCGATTTGCCCCTATAGTGGGTGTATCAGGGGTCTGACCGGTTTAGGGGGTGGAAGAGACCTAAATTGGTCCCCCTGAACTGGTTTCAAAAATAAATAAATAAAAACTAAAAAAACAGTATCAATTCGCCTGATACGCCCATACCGGCGTATCAATATTTTGAACCTTGCTTTGAACTATGGTTATGGCTGAATCATTAATTATAATCTTTTATTGGATCATGCGATGCATGTAGCAATTTTAGATAAGGGCAAGTTATAGACAAATGCCCTCTACTTTGGGGGTGGTAGTGATACTTTTTAAGGGCCTGAAAAGTAGGGTTGCAAATGGATCATGACCTGCTCTTATTTTCCCAGATTCGGATATATTCATGTCGGATTTTTAGATCAGATCAAATTTGGGTACATACATACATACATATATTATTTTTTATAAAAACACACATATGTATGTGATGAGGATAGTTAAAGAAAATATTTGTATTTTTTGTTTTTTTCTTTATATAAACTATTATATTTTTAAAATTTTTCATGAATTAAATCAGATTGGATCATAGTCGGATATTCAACATTATTAAAGGATTCAAATTTGAATTTGTGTTTGTGAGATCCGATTGGATCGTTGGATTGGATGTTTGCACTGTTGGATTGGATTCGGATATACCTTGATTCAAATCTGATTGATCCGTTTGCATCCATACTGAACTTTCAACCAAGTACCCTGAACTTTGGGAAATATACACACAAGTCCAACATTGTTAACTAACATCACAGTAGGTGGTAAAATTATCAAATTGCCCATTATTTCTTAATTTGTTTAAAATTAATGCTACAAATTTGGAACAAAAATAAAACAAATTACATAGACTTTTATCTACTTATTAAAAGGAAAGAATCCAAAACAAGAAATCAGTTAAGCCCTCAACCATTTGACATAAATATGGCCACTCAAAGGGATTTCAAAGTCTTGAAAGAAAACAAAAATGATCACATTAAGTACATTAATGGCAGTTCCAGGTTCAGCTGGTTCTCGGCAAATGTAAAGGCATACTACAATAATTATCTAGTTCACTTCTTCCGAACTCTTAAATTTTGATGCATTAAGAACCTTAATCCGTGAATCGTGTCTCATTTACAAGGTTATTGCAATCATGTAAGTGAACTTTTCTTGGTAAGATAGAGCCAAATTCTGCAGCATGTTCTTTGTACATGAGACCATGCAAGTACCAGACATATAGTAGTAAAAAATTGGACTATTTGCATTTTTTTTATTATTTATATGGGACAACTTCAATTTTTTGTGAATGGTTGGAGGTGATTCTGTTGTGGTTGACATTGCTTTCTACGTAAGCTTCCTTTAAATTATTGCAGTTTCCTTTTCAGTAGAATCAAATTTGATTACTGAAAACTTTTCCGTAGGAGTTCACAACATGAGATCCCAGTTCTTCTAGGGATTAAAACATTAAATTTTCTTGGCGTGGCTTAGTTTTGATCCAAAATTTCAGCTTTTGATTTGGTAACCATCTTGCTTGGGAGCATCAAGGATTTCGAATTTTGAAGAGGAGATGGTGAAGTTCAAGAATAGTAAAGGAGGAAGGAATATGAGTGGTGGGCTCTTCAATGAATTGCCTTCTTCTAACCTAGTGTTCACATGGTTAACCAATACTGCCAAGAAGATTATTTCTAGTATTGGATCCTTGGCAATGAGGAAGAGAAAGAATGGAAATTTGATGGGAGGTTGATGAAAGTGTGTTTTTGGGATTTTAAAAGTTTTGAAAGTACACATAACAACACCTAGGATAACTGACTGAATGCTAACAGTGGAGCTTGATTGTATATTTCCCAAAGTTTATGGTATTTGGTTGTTGCTCTTGAAAGTTCAGGTCCTTAATTGTCACTACCCCCAAAGTATAAGGGTACTTATATGTAATTTTTCCTTTAGATAATGACAATTGTAATAACAATAATATTATCGTAGATGTGTATATATTTTTTTAATTTCTTCTACAATTTTTTTTATATTTTATCTAATTTTAAATTTTTATAATTTAATTATGACATTTATTTTGTATAACATGATGAATGTATAATATCAAAGATGTCTCCTAATTTTTTTATAAACTTTTCTGTTTTTCCATAGATTTTAATATTTCTATCTATTTTCATTTTTATTATTTAATTATGACATCATGGTTAACCTAGATTATTGAAATCTTAAACATTCCCTTAATGGAAACATTTTCCTTTTTGAGACAATTTTAGAATTTGTATTCCACTTCCACCATCAACAAAATTATTTCTTATTTATCACACTTATTTTCTTTAATATGATGGCTATATATCTAATATTAAAAATGTGTCATTTTTTTACTAAAATTTTCTTTTTTTTGCATTCCTATATTTTTTATATTTTATTATTAAATGATAACATGGTTCATCCATTTGGTTTTAATTTTTGTATTTTATTACATCATTAGTAAAAATAATTCTTGTTTATCACAATTTTCTTTTTAATATGAATAAATATATAATATTAGATATGTGTCTAAAATTTTCTATTTTTTGGTATTTTAAAAATTATTATTTAACTATGGCATCATGGATTGATCCAATGATCTGAATGGTTGAACCGTTGATCCACCACTTAGGGAGGAAAATGGTTTCATTTATGAATTAATTTTAAATTTTGTATCCTATCTTTGTATAATATGACAAATATATAATGTTAAAATTGTGTCTAAAATTGTCTAATTTTTCTTTTTATCTATTTTAAAATTTTTCTATTTAATGATGGCATCATGGATTCACCTATTTGACTTAAATGGTAAAACTACTTACTTGCCACTTAGAAAATGTGGTTTAGTTTTTAGTTGATTTTGAAAATGGGAAAATCTATGATGCGGAAAAGATATTGTATGGGAAGAGTTTTGACCAATCAAAACCCACCCATGACTTTTGATAAATAACACTTGATTGGCTACTACGTTTATGATTCCAGTTGATTGGTCAGAAGTTTTTCAGATATCATATATTTTCCATATCATAGTCGAACCTTTTGAAAATATAGGTATTGTACTATTAATATTAGTGTTCATAGATTTAATTAGTGAAATTTAATGATGATTGATAAAAATACCTTAAATATATGATTTAATAAAAGAGATGGGACTCATAATGAAATGCATTAAAAAGTAATAGTCAAATTACAATTTCTGCCCTCACAATAGAGAGTGATCAAATCAAAGTGTGAAGAGCTTATTCACACTTTTATAGTAGTGTATGTACAGATAATGAATAAATAATATAATATTTCTGTTTATAATAATCAATCCGAATTAGTTTAAGCTATTCGGGAACAAGGCATTCAATTATATAAACACAATAAGCCATTCAATTCAGCCACTTCAGCTCTTATCAAACAAACCGAATTCTCCTTGGGGATTGGCAAGTGTCAAGCTGTTAACTGCTGGCAATTGAACCTGTTTCACAAAAAGTGAAAATGCACAAATAAATCTATGATGAAAGGAGGGTATAAACTTTGACCAATCAAATTTCCCTCTGTGTCCTTAAGGGTGCATTTGGTTTGAATGAAAGAGTATAGAAATGAAGGGAAAGATAGGAAAACTTATACAAACTAAAAAATTGCCCCAACAGTGAGATTGGTTATCACTTTTGTGATACTATTGATTGGTTAGGCTAATAGTTAATAGTTTTTCCGTTACCAAACCTTTTCGGTATCATAGTCCGATCCTTTATATGGCCACTGCCTTATTTGTAGGGGTGATTACGGGCAGGCTGGTCTGTTTTGGGCAAGGTTTAAAACTTTTCAATCTATCAAGCTGAAAAGATACATAAATCATGGGTTCAAACCACGTAAGACGGGCTTTTCATTCTATCACCTCAATCTGAATCGTCTATGTAATGGAAGGAAAATTCCCCTTTTAGTCCATTCAAAAATTGTTACACCTCAGAATTAAGTAGATTATGTGAAACCCGTAACTGATGGAAACTATATTATTAATGGATTTGACTATAATATTGGAAAGACATGATGCAATCTATCATATCAGAAAGACATGATATCAAAAAGAAAAGGTATCATAAGAGCTCTGACCAATAAAATCATCCTGTGAATTTTGATGAACACCACCTTGATTTTTTATGATTTATTGTAACTTTTTCAATATCATGTTTTTCCAAATTTCAATCGTGGTTTTGAAAATAGGTTTGGACTGGACGGTCGGACCGATTGATCTAGGAACCAGTTAGAATATGATTAACATCAATGCTGCAGATACAATACTGCTGATGTGT